GCTAGATGATTCTTCTACGGTCTTCTTCGGCTTTTTAGCAGACCCCTCTGAGGTTTTACTGCGCTTAGCTAATCTAGCCGCTTTCAGTTCCATTTTCCTCCTCTTCAGAATCTCCACTTTCTCTTTGTAAGATCTGCAGAAGAAGATTAATAGTAAAAGCAAAGTGTTTAGTTAATCTTAAACAGGTTTCAACATTTTCATGTTCTTGCTATAACAAACTTATGTATCAAATCACCTTTGTTCTCGTTGTTCCTCCTCTTCTATAGTTTCCGCAGCATCAACCTGAGATTAAGAGTACAAATCGATATTTAAGTTAATAAACAGAGCTTCGATGGGGTCAACAATTTTTTATGGTGACAGAAAGTTATCTGACCTCTTCTTCTTCCATGCGACTATCCACTACCTGCAGATCTTCTTGTATCAGTTTCTCAAATTCTTTATATTCGTCCCTGTAGAGAATCGATACTTATAAGTTCATGAAGATAGTGCTTTACTACAAAGACTTTTAAATAACAGAGCACAAAATCATGACCCGCTTGATCTCAAGTTGAGATTGTTAAAAACAGTAACTAAAACACAACAGTGAGGTTTCAATTTGATATCCTGCATTTGGAATAGTGAAAGCTGAATAAGAAACTCACTTGATATCTGGTTTGACGATCTTTATCCCACGGGCAAGCAGGTCAGCTTCCTTATTATCAAAAAAACCGGTCGGAAGGGATCCTTTCACCACTGGTTTCGTTTCTGAACCACTGGTGGTCTGTGTCTGGCTCTGTTTAGGCTCACTGGTATCTGAAGAGTCAGTTTTTTGATTATCGAAGAATCCGTCTGGAAGAGGTCCCTTTGTCTTTTTTGTTTCTGAACCTACAGTCTGCTTTGATGGCTGTACATTCTTGGGTTTTGCAAACTCTACTTCTACAGATTCTGAACACATAATTGACTAATAAGTTTGTGCCACAATATACGATAACGGAAACTCGATTCACCAAATGAAACTAGTTATCAACAAAAATCTATTACCAAGAAACTTATCCATTCCAATTTTTGGTAGAG